TATACATACATATATATATATATATATATATATATATATAATAACTTTAACAATGACATTATCATACACTAAGGAGGTGTTTGTTATAAGGATTTTTTTTTTTACTTTTCCAAGAATTTGATGTTGAAAAAGTTGATTTCTTCCATTTGATTTACTAATTAAAGTTAACATTGTCAAAAAAAATTGTTTCACGAAAATAATTTTACTTATATTCCTCACAAAATTATTTGCTAAGAAAAAGTGAGAATCTAACATTCACAAGTCAAATGAAACACCAATAAATTTTTGTTTCCTTTGCATTATGTTTCCATGAATCATAATTTCGAGACAAAAAAAAATTTATATGTCACACATTTCCAAAGAAAAGGAAATACTCTATATCTTTATATATTTAAAAAAAAAGGAAAATATTAAAGACTGAGCAATTATGTAAAATAGACAAAGTTATTCAAAGAGTTGGTTAATAATAATTACAAGAAATAATATTTTTTTAATATTTAAGAGTGCAATAATAAAAAATAATTGTGAATATGAAAAACAGAAGAAAAAAAGAACTCCTGTATAAATTAATATAGATAGATAACAACTTAAAGTTTCGTGACAACCAAAATAAATGTCATCAGCCACATCATTGCTTTTGTAACAGAGACCGCCGATAAGGACAAAAAAAAATAATAATACATGATTTGAAATTTGTAAGAATAAAAGACAAGTTTTTCATAAAGGTTGTAAGCAAAAAGATTACAACACACAAGGGCTAACAAGGTAGTTGAGCCCTTACAAATATCTACAATAACCTAGTCTTTATGTAAGGCTAGAATAGTAAAAAGAAAAAAAAATACTTGAAGAATTAATTTAATTTGAAAAACTAATTCAAGATCTAATTTAATAACACATTTCAAACGATTAATGTGATAATAATTGTAACTTCTTATATGAATAATAATTGATGATTTGATTAGTAAATATTTATATTTAATATATTATTATTATTATTATTATTATTGTTATTATGTATTATTCTTTATAATTATTTTTTATAATTGTTCAAACTATCATATGTATTTATAAATAATTAATTATTTTTTATAAATAATACAGTAGTTAATTTTTTTTCCCTCTTGTATTTTCTTATTTATCCTTTTTATTATTATCTTTTTTTTCATAATATGATAGTTGTTCCTTCGTTGATATTAACACAATAGTCTCTTTTTTTTAAAATTAGTGTTACAATATACAAAATAAAGTTGCGAAGAAATTTATTAAAGAAAGTCATATTTTTCAAATTTATATTAAGGTTATACACTTTATTTATAATCATATTCTTCACATTATTTCCTTTATTGATATTAATACAATTGGATTTTTTGTTTATTAGTGTTACAATATACAAAATAAAGTTGCGAAGAAATTTATTAAAGAAAGTCATATTTTTCAATTTATATTAAGGTTATACACTTTATTTATAATCATATTCTTCACATTATTTAGTTCATAAAATATTTGTATTGTTCATATGATTGTGAAATTTATTTGAATACAATTGATCTTAAAGATAAAATCATGAAAATAAATTATAAGAATATTTTTGCAATGGTCTAGAAAACATTGTCAAATAAATAAATTTTAAATTATATCTTCCTCACCAAAAGGGGGGAAATAGTGCAACAATGAAAATGATTTTTTTCTCACTATAAGTGGGAAAATAATGCGAAAAGTGAAAAAAAAAAATTTCATTGAAAGTAGAATATTTTTTGTGAAAAAGAAAAGGATAGATAAAGTAATAAATATGATATAAATATTATGTTTGATCCTTTAATATAATAAGAGTACCACCAAAAATGAAATAGTTTTGTCAAAGTCACAATTGTAATATTAAATGATATTTGTGACAATTATAAGAATTGTAAATAGTGAAATGATTCATAAGTCTTTTTAGGTTTTTGTGTGATTTCTTAAAGGGTTATGAGTCCCCTTCGTTTGTAATTTGATATTTCATTGGTTGAAATAATTGACATATTTTGTTATTGGATCTTTATGTTGTGCTATAAACCTTAAAGGATTTAGTTTCAAATCCTATTAATAAAATTGGTGGTATGAGTTTTCTTATATGTTTATTATTATATTACTAAATTGGTGGATAGATTAACCCATATCACTTATAATCATCTAATTATGATTTGTGCATGAATAAAAAAATTTAATGAAAATATGATAAGCTTTTTATTTTCTTTTTTATTTCCTTAATTTTAATTTTTTGGTACAACATTTATAGGGAGAACAATTCTCTTAATTTTTAGCATTATTTATTTTTTTCCTTAAAGTCAGCCTAGCAATGACATAAATATGTTTTTTATTAAATGAACTTTCAAATTATTTTATCATAATCATTATAGTGAGAAAGATTCACTTGTTTTTTTATGTTTATTTTGTTTATTATAAATTTATACCAAATCATTCATTTCCCAAAATTATGAAGTAAAATATTATCAAAATATGTCTTCTAAATATATTTTTTTCATAAAACATTTATTTTTAGATTATACACATCGTTATAGTATAAAAATCAATGTAGATTTTGAGATTAAATTGCTTTTAAAGATACATCAAGAGAAATGTCACTTTTATGATAATTTCTCAATTTGAAAAATATGTTAGGAAAATATACTATATTTTTCATACATCTATTTTGCTCCTAAAACAACAATATTAAAAAAGGATTAAGAAATATTATAAGTTGATCTATTGTTTATTGATGACTAAAAAAAATATTGAAAATTTTCTATACATGAGATCATTTCAATCAGTACTATTTCATTCCTCAAAGTGAATGTAATAATTCATTGATTTTAATCTTCTCATATTCAATAATATGGAAAGTTAATATTATATAGTACTATAAAAAATGATTGAAAGCTCTTGAAGATTTAATATATTGTTACTTAGTGGAACAAAGTTACATAAATATACTATATTATTCCGAGTCTTGTAGAAACTGATCAAGTTCAACAAAATGTAAAATATCTTGATATCATGAGATTTTACTTGAATAAGAAATATATATTTGTTAAGTCTCAATTTTACCTCTTTTTGGATGAGCTTGTGACGCCCCCATTCCTGCCGGTCGTTGATTTCTTAATAAGGCTGCGACCATTTCCTTAATAGCTTGCACAGCCTCAGTCAGTTCTGTATTTCTTCTTCCTGCCATCTGAAATTTTATAGATTAGTTTATTATACTAGAAACATGGTTAGCACATTTCCCCCAAGTTACACATGGAACGTTGCTCTGATACCATTAAAATGTAACGCCTAATCGTATTAATATTAATCTCAGTAATATCCACATATATATAATATTTGTAGCCAGAAAACACATATATAATAATAATATTGTACATCATACCATACTATAAATATTTTTCACTACGCGCGTAGTTGTTTTTCTTACATACAGATTATTTCGTGCCTATCTACATATCATATTTTTCTTTTTCTACTTCTATAATAATTACATGGGTGGTTGGAACAAATTTACGATGGGGTTCACATGGTTAGCGGGCGGTAAAAAGAAAGTGACTATTATGGGGCCGTCGATCACGGTAGGGACTTCTTGGTTTGGAGAGAAAGTAAAACTCGACACTGCTACTCTATTAAATGTGACTGCGTTTGCTACCGCATCAACACTCCACGTAGTCCCAGAAAATACTGCAGAAATGACTGAAGGAAAAGGAGCGGGGATCGCTGGAACATCCATCTCTATTTATTTAATTATTATGTTACATAAGAAACATAAGGAGTGAGAACACTTTTCAAAGAAATATTTATAATCATAAAGCATGCGTAACAATAGTTAATATTAAACAATATATATAAAATTTGAATTACACTTGCAGTGACTAGTCAGGATAAATGAGCATTATAATATCAACCAGTGCAAGAATTTTTAATCATAACTTCTTACTCATTTAAATCCCAAGGTCAAACCTCCAGCTACAAATAATTCAAATTTTATCTTCTATGGCCATAGAATAATTTTTATCTTTAAAACAAGTCAAAGACATTTTAACAAAATTATATTATAATCAATCATAACAACAATCACGCTAAATAAATTTGAGAATTTATCATTATTTAGGCTTTAATTAAATAACATATACTTAAATAAAATATATTAAGAGCACCAATTAATTAAATGACAATGATAATTATTATAAAATAATTAAATAATATAAAATATGAACATATTAATAATTATTATAGATAAAACAATTATAGATTAAGCAAATAAATGAGGTTAGAGGCACCTCACTAGATAAAAATAAATAAACATAGAAGTATATAAAATTAAAGAGATAAAGTTCTCCTCCCCCTTACCTTGAAATGCACACTTGTCAGGATTTTATTCTCTCTCGTTCTCTCTTCTTTTTTTCACGTACTATTTCTTTCTCTTTTTCGTTCTCTTCCGTTGCTGCTTCGAACTACTATTTATAGGGGTACTATTTCTTTCTCTTCTTCGTTCTCTTCCGTTGCTGCTATAGGGGTACTATTTCTTGCTCTTCTTCGTTCTCTTCCGTTGCTGCGAACTACTATTTATAGGGTTTTTTTTACCTTGATTACGTAAGGAAGTGCTTAACTCTATTCTGATAGGATTTGAACCCAGGACACAGTACATGTAATCCTTAAGCTTAAGGAGTTAAACCATTGAACCATTTTATTTTATATGTCTATAATATCATGTAAATTTATAATAAGTTATTTTTCGTAGATAATATTTATAATATAATTAGATAGTACACATATATATATATATATATATATATATCTTTATTATTTCACATTTTTTTTTCACAACTTTTTATTATCATATAATTTTCTTGTATTCCTCTTTCATGTATGTATAATTTATTATAAAAAATTTATAATAAAAAAAATTGGTATGTAAAGAGAATAAAATTTAGAAGCAATATTTGTTACTACAGCTACTATTTTTCAATCATAACTAAAATTTTATGTCAATAATACACATTTTCATTAAATAAAAAAATTAATTACTTAGATTATTTGATGAAACTTTAATTATAATTAAACACTCACATAATTTTTTTATGAGTCAAATGGTAAATATTTGGGGATGATATAATTAAGACAATAGGATAGAGCAAATGAAGTGTTAAAAATGTTCAAATCAAATATCATTATTCACTTAATAGTTAATATTTCATTTGACATAGAACTTTTCTTATTAATGATTAGAAATTTAGAAGAGACTGAAAAGAGAAAAAAAATGAGGTTAGATTTATTTTTATTTTTGTTTTCTAGATATTTTTAATTATTTTCCGCTTTACATTTTATTATATAGCCATTATATTTTACATAAATGACTCTCAACCCCTTTGAACTTTCGTGAGTTTTGAGCAGTATTTTTTTAAAATGCATATTTTAATAGCAATTTTAAATCTACCATCAGAAATATATTTCTGTACCTTACGAGTTCTAAAGAATTGCAAGCCAACTATACTATGATTTGATGGAGTCATGGAGCCTCAGGCTCAGCTAGAATATGTGTGGGGATAACAGGGGCATCCAAAAATCCACTTGATTATATCATGAATGTCACTTATTTACAGTCCTCACAATATAAAAACTTTCAAATAAAAATCCGCCAAAACTGTTTGCCCAATCAGGCTTTATTCAAAATTTAAAAAAAAATTCTATAATCTCAATTTTGCTTTCCAGCTGGGTGGATTAACCAAGTTCCACCATGGTAATTGTCCTTTATCGAATCAGGTTCTCAAAAAAAAAACACAAAACTAGTTACCAACCCAACGTCTCTTTCGGGCTGGCCTATGTTGCTTCATTTCACCTGTATCTACAATGGAATCATTGTTGACCTTCAAACTCTCTTCTGTTTCTCTTTTAACTGTGATGGGTTGCTTAAAGCGCTCCCTGCGTTTCTCCATCTTGGCTAATGAATCAAGAATCCTTTGACTGTCATAGCCACCTATAAATTGGTCATTTTGTGACATTTTCTTCTTCACACTATCAGTCAATGATGAACCTTCAGAAGCATCTCTCCTGGATACCGAAGAATCCATGTATGGTTCTTCTGTTACAATCTGGCCTTCCTCTATATCCGAGCTTTCTTTCTGTCCTTGATCTGAAAGGTTCTGAATCTGAAGCCATTTCTTACTCTCCTGATTGCTTTGATGTTTTGAGGTGTCAAATTTGCTGGCCTTTTTATGAGATTCATCAAAAACCACTGAAGCTCTCCGCTTCTTAGCAATCCGCTGGTTGACATTTTCAAGCCTACCATTGCATAAGACTCTGGACCTTCTCACTCGAGACTGTCACAAATTTATAATCAAACCAAAAACCAGGAAAATATCAATACATCTGACAAATAATAACACTGATGCTGACGTATGCAGAATATTGCATCAAATAAATGAGATGTGACAAATACGAGCCGCAGGGGTGTCATCTAAATATACAAACTAACAGAATGCTCATTAGTAGTAACAAAACATGGTAAAGGTATTAGACACCTTTCAAGCTTTATTATGAAGTCAACACAAAGAAAATGTAATGATAGTCATTGAAGTTCCGTGTCTGCTAACTCATCCGTTAAATACAAATCGAATTTGGATCTACACTGATTATTTCTGGACAAATCTAATTATGAGAAATACAAGAACTAAAAGTATGAATGAAGCTTAATGTCTTGCCATCACAAAATTAGCAAACGATAAATACACCTTCAAACTGCCAATCATCTGCTTTGGAAATCATTTTAAACTAATTCATTTGAGAAAAAGCCCACACTAGAAAAGCCAGAATCTAGCCATAACAGTATACACTTATTAAAAACATATAATAGGCAGACAAGTGCATTTAGTAGAGAAAAGTATATACCTGAAAAGACACATCCTTATTGCCCAAAACACAACATTTCTACATTAAAAACCAATGCAGGCTTTTGAAAGTGATAAAGTCTTATAACTATTTAGCATTAGCAGATCCATGCATTAATAGAATTGAGTATAAAATGCAAACTTTGACATGTAAGGAAGAAAAACAGATATCTTGCCCAATTATCTCCCCAGCCTGCGTATAAAGGTAATCAAAGGCTAAAAACCATACTGTGCCCATCAAAATCTGAGGATAAATTATAGTCTACCAATAATAGATACAAATATGTGACAAATATCATATGTAATAGAATGAAAAACTCAAAATATCAATAAAATGTGACCAGAAAATGTGATATCCAATGTTCAATCAATTAAAATCTAAACATAATATATATATATACCATAAGCACATCAATTATCTCAGGCCAGGAGATCTATGGATGTGACCCTGATCAGGAATGATCATCAGCCATGGTTGACGTAAGCTTAATCACCACAACCCATTAGGCCATTACTATATTATGTCAAGTTCCCAGAACAGCACATGAACTAATTTCGAAGAACGATTTAGAAGCAAAATGGAAAAGTTAGGGGAATTTTATTCTATTATGAACAATAACCAAAGCCTTAGCCTATCCTACTAGAGGAAAAGTTGGCAGATATGGACCACATGACTATATTACTCTATAATAAAATATTACTAAAGAATATGAGATTAATGTTACAACATCAAGGGACTACACAGATTTGCTTCATATGCTTGACCTGAGATTCTCTATAATTTAGCATTTTAGCTTGGTATTGATGCTGAAACTCAAGAACATCACTCGATCTGGAGTTGGTCCAAACCTTAAAATCATTTTTAAAACAAATAGAAGTTGAGAACAAAATGATAAAACATAGTTAATATTTGGTAGTGAAGTAGTACAGCAGACTTTATATAAGTAAAAGCTACCAAAAAGAAATAAAGTGCAACAGATGTTGAATAACTCATTGATAAAGACAAAAGTACAGGCTCTCAACCATATTTTCCCCATTTTTACCTTTCCTTCCCCATTAATCAAGTCAACTGATTTCCTGAATCTCAGCACTGCTTGCCCACCCTTACTTCTGCACATAATCTTAGAGCTATCTTTAAAATATCTCTCACTATCTCGCTTTGACATACATAGCTGATGCCACTGCAATGGCATATCATCACTCTGCACCTTAGCAGACAAAGATGATGCATGGGTTTCATGATGCCTACAAATAATTTCATCCTCAGTCCAATTCAGGAACTTAGATGGTGACCTGTAAAACCGATACTCTTCTTCAGGGTAAATTGGGAGATCTTCATCTTCAGCAGTGTCAGTATAATCACACAACTGATTACAGCCTCTGTTGTCTCTAGCATGCTTATCTCTCCCACAACCCCCAAAAATTACATTTACCCTTGCATCATATGCATAATTCTTCACTGAATCTGTATAAGATTGTCTACGATGCTTAAAATTTGAAGTCTGGTATCGTGTATATTTCTGACAATTATCTTCTACTATCCCAGAAGCCAAGTGTCTTCCCCTACGGACAGATCTTCTCCAATCTCTATCAATATGTGCAAACTGCTCTTCACCATTATTATCAAACAATTCCATTTCTCTCTCAGCAGCAGAAGTGGACATGCGATATCTCTTGTGTAGGAACTCAAACTCACACTCATCAAAATCATCAATGAAGTTTCTGTCCATAAAATGGAATTTTTCATCCATTCTTTTCCTTTGAGTATCCATCTCCTTATCAGGAAAAGATGAATGTTTTGGAAGAGACCATCTTGACTCCCTATAAGAGTGATTACTCAGGTCATCAGCAGAGTACCCACAACCAGGATGATACCAATCTTTCTCTCTGTCCTCACTATCTGCAAATTGAGGACAGTTCTGTATTTCTTCTTCCTGCCATCTGAAATTTTATAGATTAGTTTATTATACTAGAAACATGGTTAGCACATTTCCCCCAAGTTACACATGGAACGTTGCTCTGATACCATTAAAATGTAACGCCTAATCGTATTAAAAATAATTATGTTTCCAATGGTTTTGTACTATACATATATTAGTATAGTTAAAACACATATTCTCATAAACCAAAACTTTACAAATCAAAATAAATATGTTATTTGTAATGATTGATAAGGTCATCCTGAGTCTATTATAATGTAAAGAATCTTTTGTTATTGATTTTTCTATTATTTAATATATTGAATAGCCGAAAGATTCTTTAAATTAATAATTTAATATGTCCTAATTGTTTCCAATGAAAGTTAATATTATTGGGATAATTAAGAAGGAAACTTTTATATTTATAAAACAGATTCAAGATAATATTTGTAAACTAATACACCCACCATATAGATTATTAAGATATTTTATTATTTTAATTGATGCATTAACTAGATGGTAACATATTTGTTTGTTTTCAATTTTCATCTTGATGTTTGTGAAATTGTTATCTTAATTAATCCGACCAAGAGTTTATTTTCTTAATTATCCAATTAAGAAAATTTATCTTGATAATGTTGGTGAATTTATATCTCTTATTTTTAATGAGTGTTGTATGTCTATTGAAAGTTATATTAACATCCTATAACACATGTTCATATATAAAATATACTTATATTATAAGTTCTCCCCTTAGTAATTGATTTTTGGTAACTAACCTTATATTTCTTATTTAAGAACTTTTGAATGTGTTGAATTATTATCTTATAACATGCCAAGATGAATCATCAAATAAGGTTGAAAATATAAGTTGAGTATGAATCCGCATCTATATTAAAATATGTTGAATTATCAATATGAGTCTTATTTATAACTCGATTTGTCAATTTTAATTTTAAATAAGTTTTCCCAATATTAAGGTCAGATAAGAAGTTGGAAAAAGGATATTAGTTAGAATAAATTGTAATATTGATCCTCAAACTAAACATTATGAATCAGAAATTCAAAAGATAATTTATTTACAAAAGTTTAACCAAAAAAATGGTTAAATCATATAAATCAAAATATTTTTCTATATAAATAATAAGTTATAGAAGAATTCAAGTACCTAACTTTTGGAAAAATAAAAAGATCTCAAATTATGTCATGAATGAAAATACAATAAAAACAAAATAAAGTCAACATTGACAATATATTTGCACATACATTGTGTGATAAATAGTAACAAGGATCAAGAAACAAAGCCTATCAAAGATTTAAAAATAAATAAATGATTGGCCAAAAAATATAGAAAAACTTAATTGAGACAAAATTAAACTCATTTGTCAAATCAAAAAGTTTTTGGACATGTAGTTCATACACCTAAAGATGAAAAGCCAGTTAGAATTTGAATTTGTAATCTATACACTTAAAGATGTAAAATTAGTTGGATATATAATGAGAATGGTGAAATTGTGAGAAATAAAACGTGTCTTGAAAATTAATAATTTTCACAAAGATCTAACATTGACTTTAAAAGCGGATGTAAGTATTTTTCCAATACACCTGAAGATGTAAAATCAGTTAGATATACAATGTTTTTATGTACAAATGAAATGAGAATGATAAAATTGTGAGATACAAAATGCATCTTGAAAATTAATGATTTTCACAAAGATTTAACATTGATTTTTAAATGACATTTATCTGTAGTGGATGTATGTATTTTTCGATACTTGATCAATCAAGTTATAGATGAAAGACTCAATTAATGAATGATACAACCCAGTTTTATGGCTCACTTGATAGTGAGATTTATGTAATATTCTCCGAAGGACTTTAATATGTCCAAAACATTGGTACAAGTTCTTGAGAAAATTACTCAGTCAGATTAAATAAGTCGCATTATGGATTAGAAAAATCTAATTGATGCGGATATGTTCAAAGAATGATATAAACATGATATGATCATTTTTTCATGTATTTTTTTAATGAAAAAATGTGAAATTAAATTTATTCTTATATTTTTGTAGATGACATAAACGTTTTGAAACTCTTGAAGAGATTCAAAAAGCTATAAATTTCATAAAGATAAGATTACAATGAAGGATATGGAATGAGCAAAGTTTTGCTTATTATTACAATTTGAATATTTTAATTGTGGAGTTTCTTGTGCATCAATAACTTTATGTGACAAAGATGTTTAAAAGTATTTATATGAAGAAATCACATTTGTTGTGTACTCCAATGATTACAAGGTCTTTAGATGTGGACATCGATCCTTTTAGATATCAAAAAAAGATAGTATTACTTGGTCCTGAAATATCAAATCTTAGTATTATACGAGCACTAATGTATTTTAGTTTGTTAATTATACATCACTTGATACATAATTTGTTATCATTTTATTTGCAAGATATAGTTATTCACTTATGTGAAATTGTTGGAATGAAGTCAATAATATTTTTCATTATCTTTGAGGAATTTTTTTGATCAAATCCTCGTAATGGTAAATTGCAAACGAAGTATTTGTTTATATATGATGGTATAGTTATACACGAGAGATTGTTATATCTATTACTTGATCGATAGAAGAATAAATTAAAGGAGATGGAATGAACTTTTTTTCCTAAGTTCTTTTTAACTTATAATCAACAAGTCTTTTTATGTGAAAATCTGGAAAACTCTCTTTACAAAGTTAGTCACAAATACAATTTTGAGCAATTGATACACAAAATTGGTCTTCTTTATCTTAAAGATGATTGTCTGTTTGAGGGGAAACATTCTGCACTCTTTTTTCTGTCGTCATGATTTTGTCCCACTGAATTTTTGTTGCCAAAGTTTTCAATGAGACAGTATATGATATTGTATTAAAAAATAATATACTATTTTTCCTTGTTTTTGTCCCACAAGATTTTTTCTAGTAAAATTTTAATGAGACATTCTAAATAGATATACAAGGAAGAGTATCATGAATAATAATTAGTGACTTAATAAATATTCATATTCAATATACATTATTATCATTTATATTTTCGCTATATATTATTTCTTTTTTATATAATTATTCAACTGTCATATATACTTGTAATTAAGTTAACATTCTCAAAAAAAAAAAAAAAATACTAGTCAAATTCTTGTTTCTCTCTCATAGTCTTGTTTATTCTCTTTACTATTATCTTTCTTTTTCATAATAAATTAAAAATTATAGACTTAGTCTAATATAAGTGACAAAAGACTACCGACAATTAACCAAGTAACTAATTCAAATCATGATTCTTGAAAATATAGAAAACTTATACCGAACAAATCCTCATTCAATACACTCCAAAGAGACTAGTCCCAGCATTTAATGGGAAATACTACTTCATAGTGTAAAAAATAACAAATTGAATATTGTTTAAAAGTTGATCCTAATCTCTTTCGTGCATTAAGCGCATTGTGGCAGATTTTGACTAGAGCAACACGTGCAACCAAAATCACTCAACGTACAGTTAGTGCACACCCGAATGTAGCAATACCATTATGCACTCGATATACACAAACTGGCAAATTCTCAGTCTAATTGACACTGAAACAGTGAGTTGGGCAGGGACGGCAGCACTTAAACCCCACCAAAACAGTTCCGGGTCTGTATATCATAAAGTCTTGAGCAGTTAAATACAGAAATTGTCGTTCTACAATTATATATATCATCACTCAAGTCAAAGTACTGGGATTTACGTTTACCTACTAGGTCTTACAAGGACTATTGATTACAGACCCTAGGAACTCTTGTCTGGAAGAACATTTAATATTTAGAACTATACAAAGCATGAAACATCTAAATCTAACACCCAGCAGCCTTGAGGAAATTGTCAAAGGGGCTAGCAGGAGGCAGCCTCATGGGGTCCCTTGTTAATTGGGCATGCCCGCCACCATTGCCTACCTACAAAATTAGCATAAATATAATGGTGTCAGCACTGCATTTAAGGAGTTGGATTTATTTAGAAGACCTTACAGTAATTTCTATAATAATTGGAATCATGACATGACAAACAAGGAGCACCATCCGGTGTTATGTTCTTATTACATTTTTTTTTGGTCTTTGAACTTTTATTGATTTTAAATTTTAGTTTCCAAACTTTGGTCGATTTTCACTTTTAATCTCCAAACTTTTCTTTCCATTAACTATTCTGCTCCTTGACGTCAAGATTTTTTGTTCATGGTAGAAAATTTTAGGGACTACACTGAAATAAAATTTGTTCAGAGAATAAAAATAAAAATGGAAAAACGTTCAAGGACTAAACATATTTAATCCTTGTTATCAGAACAAACCTTCTCAAGGGCTGACTTCCTAGTATCAGCGATTGCCAGAAACGATTTATCAGCTGTTTGGCTGTAATGATTCTCAAAGGCCAGCCAATTTGAAAGCTTCTTCCTTGCACATGTCCCAAGTGATTCACACTGGCTAGCCATGGTGTTGTATGGAAGGGGCGAAGTGGAGATAGTTGTTCCTGCCACTTGACCGGCTACCTCTAATGCCTACAAACAGTGGATATGCTGTTGAGTGTCCAGCTTATAGGAACAGTAATCATTCACGAGTAACACAATGATATGTATGCATTCTGCATTCCAACTCTATATACGTTGCTTGGAAAAACAGGCATGCAAAAATGGGAATTTAACTTAAGTGTTTCACTTAAACTCACCCCATCATGAACCTAATGTTAGCAGTGCAGTGCAATATTAATTTTCATAGGATTTCAAAATTTTCACAGCATTGCCCCATTCATTACTGACATTTTCATTGAATGTATTGTCATTATGACACAAGCATACAATAAATAGCACTAATTCAGCACAAGAGGAATGCTAGCAACAATCCACTTTTTTCCAAATACCCTCTTTTACTACTGGATAAAATACCTGTGGGAACCCACTAAATGGGTGGGTTATAGTCCCTAATT